TGTGTCTTTATACAGTTCCTTTATTGATCTAGGAGTGGGAAGTGACAATATTTACTCTTGTTTCAGTGGAGAAATATGTCTTAAGTACTTTCCAATCTGGACACAATTGTCCAGTTCAATATATCATGTCATGCTTATAAGTTCTATGCGGATGACTTGCATAACATAATCTACACTTGAATCTTTAGCTGAATTGAAAATATAAACATCTCTATAGTTTTGTGATAATTGTTGATTAGGGGATCAACACTCAAATAACTCTGTTTCCTTATTTTTCTGGTGTTTAAGGGAGCTTGTAGAGTACTAATTCTTATGTTTTATGCACTTCTTTCCATCATTAATTGTCTTCTGAACTTCTTGCAGATCTTTACACAAAGAATATGTTTCAGCTCCTGCAGTCTGCCTATTCTACAATAAGCATCCAAGACACAGCTCTCTTCCTTGGAATGAGCGAGGATGATGCCACAACTTGTAAGCTTCTGTTTTCACTATTGTCTATGTTCCAAATTGCTCTGGGGGTTAAGTTTCTTTTCTGAAAAAATAAAGAACAAAAATCTTAATGCTTTGTCCAGATACCCTATTTTGTTGCTGCACATTAAGAAGATAGTGAATTGCCAAAAAAATTGAAAAGCCAAAATCTTTTTTATCTATGAGAAAATATAGTAGATGTATCATTGGGAAATTAACCATGTTACAGTTGGAGGTATGGCCTTTTTGAAGTATATTCGTCCTGAATAAGTAGATTCTCTGTAAAAAGGTTCCGCTGCTTTAGGAGGGGTAATTTTTGAGATTTACAAAGATAGGAATTTATATATCAAGTATGATAAACCAGTTGAAAAGTCACTAAGAAGCGTCAATGGATGATTGGAAAAAGATTAAAGGCAGTGGCAGAGTTGGCTTTGGTATAATTTTGTTCCTACCTAGCTGTCATATTAGAGTGGCAAGTAAATGTCTATGTTATGGTGGATTTGGGTGTTCTGTTCATACTGTTGGTCCAATTAAAATATAAGAAGAAAGGTGTACCTGCCTACATTTCGGAGAATTTGGATGTAAAATCTGGGAGAACTTTAGGAACCTTGATGAACTACAGTTTTTCATTGCTTTTTCTTATATTCCCTTTATAAAACAGTTCTTTTTGCTTTAAAGGTTACCAAGTCTTCGATGACTGGACTTGATGACGACACTGCTTATCATCAATGACTTATTTCCTTAATATAAAAGAAAATAATATTTTATTATTTTTTCCATTAATTGCATACTTATGCATTTAGGCCTGTTATCATTTATGTTGCAAATTCTTTAGATTTGGTTGTCATATGCAGTTGTACAACAGCAAGGTTGGGCTGTGGACCCTGCTTCTCAAATGCTTACTGTGAAGAAGCAGCCCATTGTTACAGAGCAGAAACTGGATGCCAGTAAATTGCAGAACTTGACAGAATATGTATTCCATCTAGAGCATTGAAGGAGCTTTTAAGAACCTGAAGCTGTGAATTGTCTTTTTAATCAGCTGCATACTTAGATCATGTTTAGAAGAGTAAACAGGATCTCAGATTTTGTATTTACGCAACACTTAGAGCATCTCCAGCGCGCACAACAAAGCCAGGCAAAAGGCCCCCTGAGACAGCCCAAGTCACTCCAGCGCAGCAGCCCTTGGCCCGGTTTGGCGTGGGTCCCACCAGCCCTGGCAAGCCCAAGGGCAGGTTTAGCCTGGGCTTCAGCCCGAGTCTTGTGACGTCAGCGCTGACGTCAGCGCAAGGAAAATCAAATTTTTTTTACTGTTACACGCGCCAACGGTAAAAAAATTTGACTTCCGCACGCTGACGTCAGCCCTGTCAGACTCCAACGGCTATGTGACACGTGTCGCAATCGGGACACTCCGATCTTTTTTTTCCAGAAATCCGACGGTCCTCGTTTTTTTCCCCAAAAAAATTGCAAAAAATATCGAAAAAATTCTGAATTTTTTTTTTAAAATACCAAAAAATTCTGTATTTTTTCCCTATAAATACCTAACCATTTTATTTACTTTTCACACCAAATCTTCATACAATTTCTTCTCCATCCAATATTTTTTACTCTCCACTCATATTATTCACTTCCCACACCAATTCTCAATACAAACTCTTATCCTTCCAATATTTTTTCCTCTCCACTCACATTTTTCACTTTCCACACCAATTCTCCATACAAACTCTTCTCCTTCCAATATTTTTTACTCTCAACTCACATTTTTCTACTACTTTCCATTTGTAAAAAAAAAAACAAATGGCATCTTCTGTCGAAGCCGGAGGCTCGTGGGCAACTCAGGAAGATATTGCGTTGTGTCAGTCTTGGGTGAACGTTAGTCATGACCCTATCACGGGTAATGAGATGAAGTTCCATCATATGTGGAGCAAAATTCATGGAGAATTTTGTCAAAGATCGAGTTCCATTCGGACCGAAATGGCCTTGTCTAGTAGATGGAAAATTCTGAATAAAGAGTTAGGGAAATGGAGAAATGCCTTGACAAAAGCAAGGGAGAACATTCGAAGCGGTCAAAATCTATCCGATGAGGTAAAATATTTATATTTGCCATTTTAATCAATTTCAAGTAACTTTTTTTTTTTTGCATATTCTATTTCCTTTTCTTGCATAATTTTTTTTTTCTTTTTGCATATTCTATTTCTTTTTCTTGCATAATCTTTCTTTTCTCTTTTTTCATTTCCAATTTGTCTATATTTTCTTGCATAATCAATTTTATTCTTGCATTTCCAAATAGTTTATATTTTCTTCCATAATAATTTTTTTTTCTTGCACTTCCAATTATTTATTTTTAATAGATCATACAAGCACAAATGTGGTTCGGTGCCATGGGGCAAGGCAAAAAAAGTTTTGTGCATTTCCAATGTTGGGAAGTTGTGAAGAATTGTTCGAGATTCAAAATTATTCTCACCGGTCCGCCGGTTGTGTTGAATGAGACGCCGCTCCACGATTCGCCATCAACCGATTCACCATTGGACTCCCCAATGGAAACGGAGTCACCACTTCCACGTCCGCCAAGACCTATTGGGAGAAAGGCGGCAAAGGCCAAGAGAGGTGGCACTTCGAACAATGAATGTGTACAATTATTAGAGCAAATAGCTAAGAACACCTCGTTAAGAATTGAGAGAGACTTGAAAAGAGATGCATTGGACATGGCACGAGAGGAAGCATTTGCAATTCAACAGCAGCAGGCAC